TATTTATATTTTAAGAAAAAATATGTTAACCGTTTAGTTAATAACTAACAGTAATTAAATCGGTAAGATTAAGAATAGTACAAGTCCAAAAGTAAAATGTTTGATAAAATATTTCAAAAAATCAGTTTTATAGTTCTAAATGCATTTTTGTTAGACTATTTTATGAAATATAATATTCATATTCTGTAAAATAATTTTTATCTTCTCACAAAAATGTATTTTAAACTTTAAAATTGATTTTAGAAAATAAATTGTCAAAATTAAATTTTTGGACTTGTACTGTTCTTATTCTCACCGATTCAATTGTAATGTGTATCTTAATACTTAAAAATCTCATAACAAAATATGAAGTTTGCAAAATACAGCAAAACATTTTTTAGATTGGTTACTATTTTAGCTGTCATTTAAAAGAAAGATAAAAATCCTTTTGTTTGATATACACGTGTATATCAAACAAAAGGATAAAACAATAAACAATAAACATTTTAACGGTATTTGTCACCATTAACATTGCCCATGTAAAAATTTTTAATTCTTTTTAATACAATTTTGAAATGATAGTAATTAAAAACAAAACAATTGTTTAAAGAGTAAAATATGTTCTTAGTCACGGCCAAATCTATATGGGTGCACGTCATCAATGAGATATAATGACGTCAGCATTACCAACTTTGAATTGTAAAGTTACTGCCGTTAAATTTGCTTTTTTAAGGCGTAATTCTGATGTGTTATTAAAAGGAAATCATTCATTTGCGTATTGTTTACCAAGAACTGGAACAATTTCCTTGTTTTAAAACGTTTTTTCACGAAATTATCAAAATAAAACCATTCACTTAGTAATTTTTGTGTGTGCCAGTTGGTAATAGCTTAAGGCTGGCGCGCACCGTTCAATATTATTGATGGGTCGCTGTCATTTTATATTTGACGTATTTTTGTAATTGTGACATTTCGTCCGGAAGCATCGTTTGTTGCAAATTATTATAAATAATATTATACATTATGTTTATAAGATTCTATCCCTGGATTGTGCAAACAATGATATAAGGCTTGTTGGCAACTAGCCGTTATTAGATTTCGAAGACATTGCGCCCTTAATAATAAATTTGGGGAAATAATCAGACTTCAATTCTGACCTGGTTTGCTCTGATGACAAGGACGACTGGTATTTTATTATTTTTGTGTTTCTGATAATTTAGTATTTTTTTGTTATGTGCATATGTAATAAAAATTTAATAAACTCCGTTTGTTTTCTCTTTAAACAAATTTAATAAAAATTTGCCTGTAACAAACTCCTAATTAGTTAGTGCAGAAGATTATAACAAGGACGTTATAATTCCATCTTAATAGCAGCCCCCACCGCTATAAACAGTCAACAATACACGAGCGTTAGATTGTGTCTGGGCACGTATGAATAGACCTTAACGCTGACGTCATATGCCGTTGATGACGTGCACCCATACAGATTTGGCCGCGACTATAACATAATCATATTTTGAAGTTATTTTAACATTTTCAAGTAAAAATAAATGTTATGTTTAATAAAATGAATTACGGGCAATGTTAATGGTGAGAAATAACGGAAAATGTTTAAACGTACGTTTGTATATCACGGTATATTTTTTACTAAAAAACGAAATATCGTTGTTGTTTTTTAAGAAAAATTTTGGTTGTGATATTATATCATTTTAAAAAGAGTTTAATAGAATAGAACCTAAAAATATATATTTTTAAATTACTTTTTAAAACAGAAATTTTTAGCACTTAATTGAATCTTAATTGAACGCAGGTCAGGTTGGAATATTTAAATTTAATTTTTAGGATTTTAGGAGTTTTAGGAGATTGATTGCCATTTTAGGAAAATTTTAGGAGTTTTCAAGATTTAAGTAAAATTTTAGGAATTTTATGAGTTTTAGGAGGTGTGGGAGCCCTGTATTTTTTATTGTTATCAAAACGTGTCCCAACGATCTCTCTTTATTTTATGTTTTTGCATCAAGTAACTGGGTCGTTTTAAAAAAACACCCGCCTTCCGCTGTCCGTAAGTTTGAATTCAAATAACTTTGTTATTCTGATCTTATTGATTTAAAAACCAAGTGAAAGCCTAACAAGCCCTTAGTAAAGTCTTTCAGAAAATGTTTGTTTAGTTATATCAGAATATATTTTTTTTAATTTTGAAACTTGTGAAACACACATTTTCGCATGTCCCATTAGCGTTTTATAAAACTTACATACATGTTTTTTTTAATATTGTATAACCAGAACTTTGTGTTGCTTTATAGCAATCCATAACATCCTTAGTTAATACAGTAAACAATTTATATATAAAATAATTAATTTTAATCTACTTTTTTTAAATTTGACTCATGTCCCAGACATTTTTTCCGTTGCGTTACGTCCGTTGCGTTACCGATAGAATATTAAAAAAAACATACATATGGCAACTTTTTTGGCACTCACGTGATCAACAAATGATGTTCGGACGTACACATTACCCAGCTGAATTTATTTATTTAATCAGAAAGAAGATATCGGTTGAAACAGGTGCGGGTAACGCGAATGTAATAATTGTTTGCCCGCTAAGTTACTCAAAAAAATAATAAAAATAAGGTAAGAAAAAATACTATTTTTCATGTTTATGTTTATTTTAGGGCACTAAAGCTCATTGAGAGTAATTAATGACTATAATGTCTTAATTATTATTTTTTAAATATAGTTTCACAAAACTTTTTCCACTGCGTTACCGAGTCCATTATGTTACCTTATGGTAACGCAATGGAATTTAGGGTAACGCAATAGAATTTTTCGACAACAAAGTGGATATTTACCGTCGCTTTTATTAAAAGTAGTTTTTGATAAACCAATTTAAAATTATTTGTGATTATAACTCATGATATAGATTACATCCAAGGGAAAATTCCACGCAATATACAAGTACTAAAAGGGACCTTCACTAGCTTATAGTCAAAGAAAAAGGGTGTCTACAATTTAGAAATCTAAGTTGTTATTCTGCAAGTGAGCACCACTACAAGGGATTTTGTTTATGCATTACTCTAAAATCGTACCACCCTAGTCCTTTGTGTACCCCTGTCCGTTGTGATACCAATGTCTATTTCGTTATTTTTTTTAGTTTTTGTTAAAAAAAATACTTAAAATGATTTTTATACACTATCACTTGGTAATACGTGTTTATAAATTATAGTTTAACTCACTAATACAGTGACGAAAATATTAATGGTATTGTTTTTTTAACAAAGAATCGGAATGGTTTCTTTTAAAAAGTAACTTAACGAACATATATATTTAAAAAAAAGCATACAATTTTTAATAAAAAATAAAATAAAAAAATGAAGTCACAAGTTTGTGAACTAAGTACATTTTATTTCAAATTATTATTATAACAACTTTTTTTATTGAATTAAATTTTGGATTTCAAATTGGTACAGTTGAGATATATAAAGCTATCTAAACACAATTTTCTGAAAAAAACGTAAAAAAATTAAAAAGTGCACTGCCTGTCTTAAATGTAAGTAAACAAAACTCGAAACATTTATAAAAATCCAACCAAAAGTCAATTTAAGCAAAAAAAAATTTTGATATTCATTTTCCTGAAAGCGTGTGTTTCTTGAAAATGACCCAACTATTGATAGAAAAAACTTTTTAATGTTTATAAAAAAAATTGGATTATGAGCCATTCCACGCGTAACGGATAGGACAGTTGCCGTGTTTTTATTTACAAAATAATATTGTTCTATTATATTACCAATGTCAAATTTTTATAAATAGTTCTAAACTAAAGCTGTTTAACAAGGTTTTTATTTGGCAAAATTAGGTATCGTGGTTGACTGTTTAATTCCTTAAAAACTAATAATTTAAAGCGTAACGGACGGGACTTTGTAATAGTCCCGTCCGTTACGCTTTAAATTATTAATTTTTAAGGAATTAAACAGTCAATCACGATACCTAATTTTTCCAAATAAAACAGCTTTTGTTTAGAACTATTTATAAAAATTTGACATTGGTAATATAATAGAACAATATTATTTTGTAAATAAAAACACGGCAACTGTCCTATCCGTTAAGCGTGGAATGGCCCTTATACCATTTTTCTTTCAAGTTCCTCCAATTTTTTCGATACAAAATTGACATAATTTCAGCTAAGAATTATTCTACTGGCTTAAATTTTAACTTCCATAAAAAAATGTATATTTAAGTCCCACTTGTTTGTAAACAAATGTGTGCACTATAACAACAGACCTGTACAAAAACCAAATTCTACAATTGGTATAAAAATAAAAACCTTATTATTAAAATAAATAGGTAATATTTATTTATTTAAACAAAATGTATTGAAACAATAACATTTAAAAGTTGTGGTTAAATAATTTAAAAAAAGTTTTCGTGATGGGCCGTGCAAAAAGATGCTACAATCCTTTAAATAAAAGTAAGCATAAAAAAGTAACAAAAAATCTTCATTTTGTCACAAAAAAATGGAATGCAATAATGCAAAAAAATAAATACTTATCAAAAACTTTTGTTGGACTACATATGTGCAATTCTTGTCGACGATCAATTAACGAGAAAAAAAGTGAATCAAACTTTAAAGTTTTTCTTTCTAAACGAAAAACTCAAAATAAAATCGTTGGCGAAGAAAGTGACTCTGCAGATCCTGAACAAAACGAAAAAGGTTTCAATATGGAGAACCTTCAAAAAGTTTTTCAAAACTTTCTCACAAAGAAAATCAAATGTTTAGTAAAATATTAGGTGAAAAAAAACTGTACTGTTGATAATGACTTGGAAACTTTGTACATTCGTGATATAAAAGCTGCTCTATCTCAACAATCCAACCGATCTGAAAAAATACAAATTTTGACAGCATTGGACCATTGCAAAAATGAGGAAAGAATTCGAAGTGTCACGCCGAATCGCATCAAAGGCGTAAGCTTTCAAAAACGACTGTGAGTGCAGTAAAACTTTATTATCTCTCCGATGATAACAGCCGTGTCATGCCTGGAATGAAAGATTACATATCGACTGTTAAAGATGGAAAACGAAGCCAAAAGCAGAAAAGGTTGCTTCTCTTCAATCTCATTGATTTGCATAAACAGTTTAGCGAGAAGTTTCCATATATGTCGATCTGTCTAGCAAAATTCAGGCAGTTAAGACCTCGAGAATGTATTTTGGCTGGTAAAAGCGGTAAACACAACGTTTGCGTGTGTAAAATTTACCAAAATATAAAATTAAAAATAAAATGAATGAATGAATGAAAATAAAAGAAGCTAATTTCACCGACACATATCACGATTTAATAAAAAATTCAGTCTGTGAGAATCCATCGTCGAATTGCTTTTTTTCAATCTGTAAAGAGTGTCCAAAAACTGAGTATGTTATTAAAAAACTAAAAATTCTCCTCGTAGAAAATTATGTGAAGGAGTAAAATTCAGTCAGTGGGCGAACACCGACAGGTATTTTAAAATATAATGATTGTGTTTTTATTTATTTTAAAATTTGCGTTTATTTGCATAACAGGTGCAAAATTTCACAAAAGACTGAAAGCAGAGACTAACGACTACACTGAGAGAACGAAATATTTGTTAATAACGAGGCACGTTAACTATTAACAAATTGTTGAGTTGGATATGGCGAAAGAAATATTAATTTGGGTCTAAGAACTGGTTAAGTTGAATTAAAGAAGCTCATAACGTATTAGCAAATGTAGATATATTAACTGTTAATATATCGAAGTTCCATTTTGTAAAAAACTACGGCAACGTCACATGCTTGCGCATATTGCATTTAAAATTATGTTGACAAATGTTAAAACGTTTTATTCGAATTTAGGTGTATTAACTGTTAATATATCACAGTTCGGTTCCAGCGCTCGAGAAGACACGTCGCGTGCGGGAAAGCTCTTGAAACGTAAAAGTTTAAAGATGAAACCAACAATAATTAAAAAAAAAGGTGCAAACTAATAAGTGAAACAAACATTTTCATAGAGTGCAAACTAAAATGGTGTAACGGTAATTGAGGAGTGGAGTGTTGAGTGATATGAATGAGTTGGGTACCACCTGTCATTGGAGGCTTTTCACTGGACGGACGGGGGAGGTCGGAGAAGAGGGGAGGTGGCCATCCGCAAAAAAAAAATCTGATAAGTTTTTATTAAGAGTATGCATGACCTGATACAAATCTGCAATATAAATACGGCAGATCCCAGCAAGCATTTTCCGATATTTGTCACCATTAACATTGCCCGTATTCATTTTATTAAACATAACATTTATTTTACTTGAAAATGTTAAAATAACTTTAAAATATGATTATGTTAAGAACATATTTTACTCTTTAAACAATTGTTTTGTTTTTAATTACTATCATTGCAAAATTGTATTAAAAAGTGTTAAAAATTCTTACACGGGCAATGTTAATGGTGATAGGTATCGTTAAAGTGTTTATTGGGATATCTTTAAAACCTATGAAGGGCACGCGGCGTGGGGCAATAAGTCTGTCAACAGCAAATGCGTAAGGCGGTCCCAATCGAGACCGAAAATAAACACTGGACTGACAGAGTAAACTAACATTGATCACATAATTCTAACACATTAAAAAAAAGGGCCTAATAGCCAAACTCGAGATTTGTAAACATTAGACAACAGAATAATCGCGCTTGTGATTTGTTTGACTAGTGAATAAATGCAATGCTTTGGAATTTGATAAACAAAGACGGAACTCTACCACAAAACGTGCTTGGGACAAAAATTATTAAAAACAACTGACACACTTTACCAAGGGCAGGAACTATCTGACCAGGACACGGACAATGACAATAACGAACAAGACAAAGACCTCGACTAGGAAACTACACCCCTGCAGCGAAATAACAACTCCCCAACTCCAAATAGTAATCCCAAATGTTTGGAGTAATACTAATCGACTGGTCTAGGGGGATTCCGCGTCGTACTTAGTTTTAAGTCGGCGTAATTGTCCCCCAAAAACCAACACCCTCCCGTCCCTCCTCCATACCCCACTGAGCGTATAGCATAGGCTCGGCGAACCCGGGAAAGGCTATTATAACTATTCGCCTCTCGCTCTCGAGCCCCAAATAGGGGACAGTACGGAACGCAATGGACATTCGCACCCAGCAAACACGGGTGAAGCCGTGCAGTTGCTGGGGAAGAACAAAAATCGGCGTAAGTAAACATAGGCCTGTACGGGGTTCGAGAGTCAAGAGGAAATGGGGCTGGTTATACGTCTCTTATACTCATACTCATACTTAACTGTTAATATATCACAGTTCTAAGACAACTTTATCCTTTATTTGTCTGAAACACAATCACCGGACGATGTTTTAATAATTAGTATATAATTTGTTCACGATTAAGAAATTTTTTAATAGTTAACATATATTTTAAAAAAATCGCAACTGTTTTGATTTCTTAATATTAAATATTTCTTTTTCTCAGTGTAACCGATCTTAATGAGACACGATTTTCTTGCAGTGTCTCAAGCTTCGTATTTTAGGCAAATTATCGTTAAGGATGGGGAATTCGTTATAAGCATGGATTTTGCAGAAAATTACACATTTCATGTGCAAAATGCCATTCAGGCCCATCATTGGTCCAATACTCAGGCTACTCTCCATCCGTATGTAATTTATTATTGCCATAAGGGAGTGCTAAAGCACGATAGCTTCGTCATTATTTCTGACTTATTATTTGACTCACGATGCATGGTAGGTTCATTTATTTAATTCAAGAGTTATTGAGTACTTAAATTTGGGGATAAAAATATAAAAAAAATCTGTTACTTTTCGGATGGAGCCGCGTCGCAGTATAAAAATAAATCTTTTAAAACATCAAGAAGATTTTGAGATCACTGCTCAGTGGAATTTTTTTTACGATCTCTCACGGAAAAGGGGCTTGTGTATTGGAGGGGCTGCGAAAAGACAAGCCTATCGAGCTAGTTTGCAAAGAATAGATAATAACCACATTACTAATCCTCGAAGTCTTTCCCAATGGGCTGAAAAGCATTTTTCAAAAATATATTTTAATATGACACAGTTTTTGTTAAAAATGTAATTACAGGAAAATAGGAGGCTTAGGTATGTTTATATTTATTGTAATGTGTTCACCATTGTTAATTTTGCAATTTTTTCAAGTAATAAATCTATTTTATTCTTTTTTTATTTTCATTTCGTCTTATAAAAATAAATTGGCAATTGTTATTTTAAATGTTTATGTTAATTATAAACGATATATATTAGAGTAAATATAATGTAACTGATAGAACGCAAAGATGCGCCTGCCTCTTAAACAGTCGCCTGTCAACGTGGCAAGGGGCTGAACAATATTATTTATCTTTGACTCAAGGGGCGATCACAAAAATGTTTAAACGGTTCCTTAATCTTTAGGTTTCAGAGCTTTTTTTACCTATTATTTTTTTCAATTTACTGAGGGAGAACAGGGCCAAATTGAAATTTTAAAAAAGAATAAAAATGTTGACAAAAAAAATAATAGCACCCCAGATAGCACAAGAGGTACCCAGGACGTCCATTTCGGGTCCCACATTGGTCCGAACGTCCCAGACCTATATCGGAAGTTTTGGGTACGTCCAGTCTCTTACTTATTTAGGAAAATTAAAGCGGATATACTCGGTACGTCCCAAGGACGTAATTTTTGTTTTTGGCATTTAAGGCTTTTCAGGTTATGTATCTGTCAAAGTATAGTCAACGAAAGAAATAATATTATGTTTAGGCGTTAAAAATGTATAAATCTATATAACATTACCTTTACTCAATGACATTACAATACCATGGTTGGTATAAGAATTTAGGAATAGAAATACTGCATTTAATGAAATTCTAAAGTGCACCTATGGTGCCAAATAAGTAATATTTTTGTGCATTTGTTGCAAATATCGGGTTTTCTCCATAAAATAATTTTAAATAAACAGCATTATTGAAAAAAAATCTAGCTTCTCTATTATGGAATAAGTATATCTGTATTAAAGGTAGGTTATTATTTTATAACAAAAATATCATCTAATTTTGTAATTTTAAGGTTAGAAAAATTTATTTTTACCAAAATAAATAAGTATTTTGGATTATTTGAAAGACTGCATAATATGGTATTTAAAAATGTGGTAGTTTTTCTAATCCAGCTTAAAGTGTAGGTACCTACATAAAGTTTTGTCAATAGAAATAGTTATAAAGCTTCGACTGAATTTGATCTACATCGAAAAATCATAACTTTAAAAATTTTAATAAATCACATGTCATGGGAGTATTACATATTTTCACATTGCAAGTTTCTCTAAAAATTGTTTGTTTTCTTATAATTTTACTTAGGTACCGAGAGGTATGAACAAGTTTTGTCATTAGAAGTATAATTTATACTGTATAAAAGCTTCAATTTAATTTGAACCATATTCTACAATTATATAGTATACCTATATTTATTAATGACCATATTAACACACTCTTCCAAATAATCCACTTATTTATTTTGGTCAAAATAGATTTTTCTAACCTTAAAATACAAAATCAGATGATATTTTTTGTTCTAATACATTAACCTACCTTTGATACAGATATTCTTATTTCATAATAGAGAAGTTAGATTTTTTTTTAAATAAATGTGTTGTAGTTAAAACTATTTTATGGAGAAATGTAGACCCAATGCACAAAAATATCACTTATTTGGCACCATACACTTTAGAATTTCATTAAATGCAGTATTTATATTCCTATATTCTTAAACCAACTATTGTTATAATAATGTTATTGTGATACTATAAAGATATATTAACTTTTAACGCTTAAATATAAGCGGTAGCACTATAAATATTATTTCTTTCATTGACTATACTTTGACAGATACATAACCTGAAAAGCCTTAAATGCCAAATTTTCAAAAGACTGCGTTCCGTACCTATATGTAGGCAACCCATGCATACCTCTCGCCTCTGTAGCACGATAGATAGTCCTATAAAGGTGAAATGCCTTAAGCTTCTAAGTAAGAATTTCTTACCTTCTGGCCTAATTACTGACCATCATGCTATGCTCACTCCCCCCTTCCTTTTCAGACCTTAAAATTAGTTGCGGATAGGATCGACAATAGCGCTGAAGCAGCAGAATTTAAATAACACGCTTTTTGGTGGCATCTTTGTCAATTTGACAATTTGTCAATTTT